GCTGCCTTCCTGCTGTGTCCTCCCATGGAGGAGAGAGAGAGAGAGACAGACAGACAGCAAGCTCTCTGGTGTCTCTTTTTATAGGACACTACACCCAGCATAAGGGCCCTATTCTCATGACCTCATCTAAGCCTAATTATTTCCCAAAGCCCTATATTCAAATAGCATCATATCGTGGGTTAGGACTTCAACATACGAATTTTGGGAGGGCACAATTCAATCTGTATAACTAACAATTCCTTTACAGAAAAGGTTTGCTAATCTCTGTACTAAAGGATATTAGGACACACACAGACTCTCCCAAGAGTGCCAGAAAACCATGCTACAAACTGTGTTGGAGGCAACACAGCTGGGAAATTCACAAAACACACAGCAAATTGGTTTAGGGAGACTCTACCACCCCAAGGTGCTGCTAATACTCCCAGCACCAGGCACTGGACAGGACTGCTAGAGGCCTTGGCATTGCTGCCTCTGTAAACTGGGGTGTTGCTCTTTGCACCCTACCAGAATGCATTCAGCCAGTGTCTGCTACTTGCACACAAGCTTTTGATTCAAAGTCTGGTGTGGGTGAAGCTGATTGGTGGATCCCAGATCATATGTCTGTGTTACCTACAGCTGCAAGGGATGCTGAGACAATGAGTTTCTGCAGGGAAGTGGGTGGGAAACCCATGATGTGGCAAATTCTCTAAAGGTACTATCTAACAGCAAGTCACAATGTTAAAATGACTTCTTCCTACATTGTTTGTCCTCCACCACTTCCCCTGAGAATTGTTACCTCTGGAATAAACCCCTCTTCTCCATGGGAAATATCCCCATGTGGCATCCCAATATCTGACTTCCTGAATCCAGAGATTGTTTCTAACAAAATTCCCATTTTGGGAAAAAGTGGGGCTCAGTGATGAGGAACCTCTCTGCAATGGCATGATACGCTGTGTCTCTCCCTCCTTCCCTCATTAAATTCTCTGTACCAGAGATGAGTTGCTATCAGTGTTTCCCACTTTGGAATTAGGATCTGCCTCCTCTATCTGGGTCAGAATTTACTTTAATTCTTTCTTATTACAGCAACATGGGAACTCTGGGAGAACTAGAAAGAAAAAACTCAAAGGGTTTCACATTCCCCTTATTCTTTTTAAAATACCATGTGAGGAGAACCTCCACTTTTAGCCAAGATGGGGTAACAGGGACCAGATTTGGCTTCCATTCCAGAACAACCAGATTTTCCCCTTTCCACCAACACCCCCACCCCAAACCTGAAAAAAAAAAAGAACCCAAAATATATAAAACAATGGTTTTCTAAGCGCTGGACATCAGGCATTGAAAGATACAAGATGAGCCCTATGATTGACCTTGAGAGAGATTCTAGATAATAGTGCAGGGAGGAGGAACCCAGAAGGAGTATGGCAGACTCTCTGAGTTGAGAAGAACAAGCTGAGAGTCCTGGGTGATCAAGAAGGCTGGAGTTTGAGGGAGGAAATTGTTCCACAGAGAGAGAACTTTGGAAATCTGCAGAGATTCCCACTTGAGCATTCAGTAGAGTACACACCAACCCATGTGAACAAGGAAACACCCAGGCTGGAGAAAAAGCAATCTTAGGGCTTGAAAGAACAGTGTTCATTAGTAACACAGGACAAGAAATACTGACTGTTCCCACCAGCTAATCTGATAAACCTCAAAATTCGCAAGGCATTTAGGAAAGTACTAAGTAAGACCTTAGTGGGGAATTGGTCTCACCTGACAAATCTCAAAAACAAGCTGCAAAATGTTCAATCTGCTTCCAAATAATTTAATTACACCCCAGAACAAAACCCAAGAATGTTTATAAGCAAACAAAAATATCCATCTCCCAGCAGAGTAAAATTCACAATATTTGCATACAGCAAAAACTTATCAGGTATGCAAAGAAGCAGGAAATGAGGAGAAAAATTAACCAACTGAAACTGATAGGAAACTGACACAGATACAGGAATTAGTGGCAAGGACATTAAAACAGTTGTTATTATTGTATTCTAGATATTCAAAAAAATTATCAGAAACAGAGAAAAATCAAATTTCTAAAGATAAAAACTAACATCTGAGATGAAAATTTCACTGATGAAGTCAATGGCAGAAGAAAAGATTAATAAACTTGAATACATAGCAATAGAAATTATCCAAAAATAAAACAGAGAGAAAAAAAGATTTAAAAAAAAGGGAAAGACCATCAGTGAGCTGTAGGACAACTTCAAGCAGCCTAAATTACATGTAACTGTATATCCAAGCTGGGGTAGGAACAGAAAAACTATTTGAAGAAATGATAGCTGAAAATATTCCAGTTTTGATGAAAACTATAAACTCACAGATCCAAGAAGCTCAATGAATTCCAAGCATAAGAAACATGAAGAAAACTAAACTACACTAAAGCACATCAGAACCAAATTGCTCAAAATCAATGATGAAGAGAAATTCTTAAAAGTAGCCACAGAAAAAAGACACATTATGTACAGAAAATCAAAGATAGGAATGACAGAAAATTCTTCATAGGAAACAATGCAAGGATAATACAGTGGAGCAACATCTTTAAATAAATGAAAGAAAAAAAAGCATCACCTAGAAATTTATACCCAGCGAAATATCTTTCAAAGAGGTTAGAACAAAGGCTATGTCAGACATACAAAAGCTGAAAGAATTCATAACTAACAGACCTGCACTATAAGAAATGTTAAAGGAAATCTTTCAGGCAGAAGGAAAATAACACCAGATAAAAATGCCTAACACCAGGCATATCTCAAAGATATTGTGGGTCCGGTTCCAGAGCACTGCAATAAAGTGAATATCACAATAAAGTGAATCACACAAATTTTTTGACTTCCCAGTGCATATAAAAGTTATGCTTACACTATAATGTAGTCTATTAAGTGTGTGACAGCATTATGTCTAAAAACAATGTACATGCCTTAATTAATGAATACAACAAAGTCAATAAAGCTAAAAAATAATAACCGTCATCTGAGACTTCAGTGAGTTGTAGTAGTAACATCAAAGATCACTAATCACAGATCACTGTAATAAATATAATAATAAAGAAAAGGTGTGGGGCTTCCCTGGTGGCGCAGTGGTTGAGAGCCCTCCTGCCGATGCAGGAGACATGGGTTCCTGCCCTGGTCCGGGAAGATCCCACATGCCGCGGTGCAGCTGGGCCTGTGAGCCATGGCCGCTGAGCCTGCGCGTCTGGAGCCTGTGCTCCGCAACGGGAGAGGCCACAAGAGTGAGAGGCCCGCGTACGGCAAAAAAAAAAAAAAAAAAGGAAAGGTGTGAAATACTGTGAGATTTACCAAAATGTGACACAAACACATGAAGTGAGCAAATGTTTTTGGAAAAATAGTGCTGCTAGACTTGCTAGATGCAGGGTAGCCACAAACCTTCAATTTGTAAAAAAAACTTGAAATATCTGCAAAGCACAATAAAGTGAAGCACAATAAAGGGTGATATACCTTTATGGACACACACAGAATAGAGAGCAACAAAGATGGTAACTACATAACCAAATATGTTAAATTTATTTTTCTTATAATTTGAATATCTTTTAAAAGATAATTGATGGTTTAAACAAGAATAATAACAATACATTGTGGGGATTATAACATATGCATAAGTAAAACACAGGAAAACAATAGCATAAGTGTTGGGAGGGAGACATAGAAGTATACCATTATAAAATTCATATAGTATATGTAAAGTGGTATAATATCATGTGAACATTATACTAAATAATGTAATAAATTAAACATATAGTAACAACCTTAAAACAGCCACTAAAATAACAAAATGAAAAGTTATAGCTAATAAATCAACAAAGGAGATAAAATGGAATCATAAAAAATACTCAATCCAAAAGAAGACCAGAAAAGAATAGGATAATCAAGAATATATAAGCTGAGGGACTTCCCTGGTGGCACAGTGGTTAAGAATCCGCCTGCCAATGAAGGGGACATGGGTTCAAGCCCTGGTCCGGGAAGATCCCACATGCTGCAGAGCAACTAAGCCTGTGTGCCACAACTGCTGAGCTTGCACTCTAGAACCCACGAGCCACAACTACTGAAGCCCATGCACCTAGAGCCCATGCTCCACAACGAGAGAAGCACCGCAATGAGAAGCCTGTGCACCACAATGAAGAGTAGCCCCCACTTGCCGCAACTAGAGAAAGTCCACGCGCAGCAACGAAGACCCAACGCAGCCAAAAATAAAAATAATGAATAAATAAATTCATAAAAAAAAATACAACACATCAAAATTTGTACAATGCTGCTAAAGAAGTACTTAGAAGATCACTTATGGCTCTAAATGCCTATATAAAAGAAAAGAAAGGACCCAAATTAATGACTATATTTTCCACCTTAAGAAACTAGGAAAAGAAGAGCAATGAAACTCAAAGTAGGCAGAAAAAAAAGAAATAAAAATCAGAGCGCAAATCAACGAAATAGAAAACAAAATCAATAGAAGAAATTGATGAGACCAAAAGCTAGTTGATTATCCTTACCTGCAAATGGGATTTGCAAAGCTTATATCTGATAAAGGACTTGCATCCAGAATATATAAAAAAAACTCAAAACTCAATAATAAGGAAACAAGCCACACAATTAAAAAAATTAGGCAAGAGAATTAAACAGACATGGATGGCAAGTACACATATGAAGCATATGAAAAGATGCTCAGCATCACTAGTCATTAAGAAATGCAAATTAAAACTACAATGTAAAAAACAAACAAAAAAACCCTACAATGTAGTACCACTATATACCTACTGAGGGCTAAAATTAAAATTACTGACCATATCATGTGTTGGCAAGAAGGCAGAGGAATTTGAACCCATATATACTGCTGTGGGAATATAAAATGGCACAACCACTTTTGAAGACAGTTTGTCAGTTTTTTAGAAAGTTAAACATACACCTACCATATGATCCAGACATTCATTCTTAGGTATTTACCCAAGAGAAAAGAAAGCATACATCTACACAGTCTTGTACTTGAATGTTCATAGCAGCTTCATTTATAATAGCCCCAAATTGGAAACAACCCAGACGGCCATCTATGGGTGAATGGGTAGCAAATACTGGTATATGCACCCAATGGAATACTACCCAGCAATAAAAAGGAATAAACTATTGACACATTCAACAACATGGATGAATCTCCAAATCATTACACTGAGCAAAAGAAGCCAGACAAAAAAGAGTATGTGTTGTATGAGTTTATCAATATAACATTCTAGAAAATTCAAACTAATGTATAGTGACAGAAAACAGGTTAGTAGTTTCCTGGTGGATGAGGAGATGGAGAGGTACAGAGGAAGGGATCATAAAGGGCACAAGGAAACTTTCAGGAGTGATGGATATTTTCACTATCTTGATGGTGGTGATGATTTCATGGGTGGATACATACATCAAAACTTATCAAACTGTACATTTCAACCATATGTTACTTGTTATATGTTATATACCTCAAGAAAAAGTCAGTTAATAAAAAAAAATCAAGATTGGGCACTACGCATACTGTGTTTCTTCAGCCATCGTAATGGTTCAGGCCCAGAAACTGGTAGTTCTTTTGTGGGGTTTGGGGTGTTCTCTTACAGCCAAGTCTTTGCAAGCCATCCAAGGTGATAGGAAGGGGAGGGAGCCACAGTGTTGAGCTTCTGTATTTCTTTCTTCAAGGTAGAAATCAAAGGTCTTTGGGGTCTTCCAATCACAATTCTTTTATCTCATTTGAGTCACTGATGGGTAGGTTTCTTTGTTCTATTTTACAGAAACACAAAGAGTGAGCATGATTCCTAAACAAAGTAGGGTATTTGCAGATGTTCTTGTCCTTTGACGCAGATATAAAGCCTATCTTCTGAGGCTGGTGGTCCAGTGGTTAAGACTCTGTGACTCTGTGCTCCCAATGCAGGGGGCCCGGTTTGATCCCTGGTCAGGGAACTAGATCCCGCATGCCACACCGAAGATCCCGCGTGCTGAAACTAAGACCCGGCTGGCCAAATTAAAAATGAATAAATAAATAAAGCCTATCTTTTGAGAAAGGACAAAGAGATTCATATGTGCCTTGCTTAAGAAGAACAGACTAAAGTCGCAGCCTGTTAATTCCATCTGCTTCCCATAGCAAGAAAAATTTTTTACAATGAGGTGTCAGAGGATCTTCAGGCCCCATGGAGGGGATTTTCCTGAGGGGATCCCTTAACAACCTTCCCGTGTATTTAAGCCAACATGCTCCATCTCCTAGGGTAGTATGCCTTATCTCTAATTGTGGAATATAAGGCTTTGTTTTATTAAAAGAATTTGAGGCATGAGGAGGATGGAAAGTATTTGGTTGGTGGGGGTGAAGTCACATGGCTGCATACTTCTCTGGCCTTGATGAAATCATTTATGTAGGGAAGAAACATCCAAAGTAAAGTACTGTCAGATATATTCCAGAAATTGGTCGCTTTCCCAAGGCATTCAGTGATTGGAGTGGATAACTTGCTGGCAAAAGACAAGTAAGGACCAAAATAAAAAGCAAACAAACTCAACTTTGAAGTCCATATTTCTCCATTCTTTCTTTTCTGGGTTTGTGGGGATATGTTTGCATAGCAAGAGGTGCCCCTTTTCCTCCCTTCCCTAGCAGAACTTCCCAGACCTCAGCTGCCTCCCTGGCTCCAGGGCTTCTATCCCAGCAGGCCAAGAGGCAGGCTGCTCTGCAATGTGATGCATGGGCATCCAAAGGGCTTCCACCCAACAAACTTCCTTTCTTTTACAATGATTCTAGCCATCTTTCCAGTCTTCTGCATACCCGGAGTGTGTGAGGGGAATCCTCACAGGGGAGTTACTCATGTGAAAATGAAAAAAAGGAAACTTCATTCAAATTGGAGTCAGGGGACTTCCCTGGTGGCGCAGTGGTTAAGAATCCGCCTGCGAATGCAGGGCACACGGGTTTGATCCCTGATCCAGGAAGATCCCACATGCTGCAGAGCAACTAAGCCTGTGCACCGCAACTACTGAGCCTGTGCTCTAGAGCCCACAAGCCACAACTACTGAGCTTGCGTGCCACAACTACTGAAGCCCGCACGCCTAGAGCCCGTGTTCCACAAGAGAAGCCACCGCAATGAGAAGCCTGCACACTGCAACGAAGAGTAGACCCCGCTCGCCACAACTAGAGAAAGCCCGCACACAGCAATGCAGACCCAACGCAGCCAAAAATAAATAAATATTTTAAAACCCTCAAAATTTATTAAAAAAAAAAAAAAATTGGAGTCAGGAAGGCCAGAAGTGGGAGCTCCCACACTCTACAACTCCGTGATATCTGCAGACCCCAAATAGGACTAGACTACCTTGCATCTCCAACAGGAAAAAGGTTACTCCTTTACTACCCCAGCAGGAGGAAGGAAGATTTTTTTCCTCGCCTGGCAACGGCTCAGCCAATGAGAGACCATCATCACAACTCAGCCAATGAAAAGTCACTACACTTTGAACTCCCAGTTTCCTCCAATGGACTCTTTCTTTATAACAGCCCAACTTCCCCTTTCTCCTATAAAAGAATGTTCCTCTCCGTTGTTTCTCCAGACTTGCCCATAGTTTTTGCTACAGCGTGCTTACCTGAAGTGCAGTTTTCTGCTATTCCTGAATGAACCCATTCTGCTGGTAAAATAACTGGCTATTTTAGTTTTAAGGTCAACACTTGCCTACTCCGGGCAAGTTTCCCTGCCAAGGAATGCGGCTTTGGCCTCAATCAGCTGGATGGGGCCGGAATGTATTTTGCATATCCGGGTTCCCAGGATATGTGTTCCTGCTTCAAGAGAGTGTGAAACTGGGGGTCAGCTGTATGGCTGGGGAGATGTGTGAAAAATAGTGTGGGCATTTCACATTATGCCTGAAAACTACTATGAAACTCTAGGGAGAGCCTCAAAAGTGCATAAAAATAAAAATTGTCCTCTAGTAATGTAATCTCTCCTCATAAGACCTCAGAGAATATTTTCTAACAAAGGTAAGATCTGAATAAAATGAAAAGCGTTACTTTTATCCCCATTACTTGTTGGACAATGTTAGGCTACTCTATTCTTTAGGGACCCGTCACCAGTCCCAGAAACCTTCTGAGTATAGGAAAATTTTGTGTGGACAGAGAACATTAAGATAAACCATATTGACTAAACTTGAGTGAAACCCAACTCTGTGCTTTGTCCTCCCTCAAAAAGTGCCTAGTGAATTAGTCTGAACAGAAATGAAACCAAAATTTAATTTGAAAAATAAATACATAAACACGAGAAACATTCAACAATAAAAAAGGGGAATACAATGAAAGTAATTCCTCATCTAACCTCTGCCCCTTGTTCTCCTCCAAGGAGCACTGTTAATAATTACTTAATCTATATATGGCATTGACATATATGTATACATTATATATATTCAGACACATACAGAGAATAGATGGATTGATAAGTAGATAGATATAGATATGTATTCTTTTTTAGATTGTGAATTTCTCCATATATACAAAAGATTATAATGTATAAGTGAAGGACAAAGATTATGACTAACATGAACACTACTGTATCAGTCATGGTCCTAGAAACAGATGGCAGGCTCAAACTGGGAAACTGAGGAGAGTTGAATAAAATATTTTCAAAGTTGCAGGCAGGTTTACGGGAACAATAAAGATAATGCAGTACTCAATGGTTTATCCAGATTCTGTGGAGTTCTAAAGCATATTCAATTTTTAAAACCTTCTTTAAGAAAAAGAATGCAAAATCATTCATATAAAAGTATGTACAGAAATGAATTTAGAATGAGAAAGAAAACATCAAATCACAAATTGATAAAACTGCAAATACCACAAATATCACAAAATCACAAATATCTCATCATATCACTATTAAATTTATTATATCTCTTTAATACTTTTCCCGACTTATTTTTGCTATGTGCTCTTTGATCTTCACATGACACTGACATCATCCTCCACAGAAAGAATAGAAAGCTAATTCAGACTTTCCCCTGGCATAGTCTCTTTCTGGGTTCCCTATTCTGTTCTATTGGCCCATGAGTTCCTCCCTACAAAAGAATGAGAATAGTCCAGTGTCACAGTTAGAAAAACAAATGCTAGCACTTGTCCTGCTGAGCGCTGGTCAGAGGTACCATTTTTTAAGAGTAAAGGTCAGGGCATTTTACAAAGCTAAGGAAACTCTCAGTCCATCTTCCATGCCTAAGAATGGTTTTGTCACTGCCTATGCCAAGCACTTCCATGGTTCCTTATCCCTTTGGGACAAAGTCTCAACTTCCCTGCATGACAAATGAGGCTCTTCATCCTCTTCCTTCTCACCGGCCTGGCCTCATAGTAGCACCTTCCTTCAATTACCTCTACCTGTTCTGTACAGTTTATACTCCAGGAATACTCAGCTACCTACAGTTCCAGAACATCCTGTGCTCAGTCCCATTCCTGAGGCTTTCCACATGATGTTCTCTCTGCTTGGAATACCCTCCACAGCTTGTGCACCTGGCAAACCCACCCCGTGCCTTCAAGTCACAGATGAAATGCTGGTCCTCCTACAAAGCTTTCTTTCACTCCCTCAGACACACTTCAGGTTTTCTTCTCCTTTGTCACAGTCCCACTGATGCAATGATCTCACACTAATGCAACTGTTTGTAGGCTTATCTCCTCACTAGCCTGTAACTTTCTGGAGATCACAGACTGAAACTTCCCATTCTTGGATCCTAGGCACCCAGCACAGGGCCTGGCACACAGTAGGCACTCAATAAGTGTGTTTTCAATGAACGAGCATTGAGCAGACTTCTATATGCCTAGCATCGTACTAAAATGTTATCTCATTTGTGCTTATAACAACCCTATGAAGAAGTAGTGTCATCCTTATTTTACAGATGAAGAAACTGAAGTTCAGTGCGTTTAGTTTGCACATAGCTCTTTCCACCCAGTTCTGATGCCAAAAATTTATGCTGTTCCTCAAAGCAGGTAAACTGTGCTGTTTCAGTAGCACTTAAGCTAGCTGCATACGGCATGGCTGATCCACCTTTTTCTGAAATAACATACTGTTTTTCCATCTCTGAGATCAAAACCCCCATATGTTTCTGTCCCAACCACTCCCACTGAAATTGCTCTTTTTCAAGGTCACATGTGATCTCTCTGCTGCTGAATCCAACGACCATTTTTCTCTTATCTTTTTTTGATTCTGGATAGTTTTCTACAAAGTTGATCACTACCATTGTTCTGGGAATAATTGTCTCTCTCAGCTTTTGTGACAAACCATTCTCAGATTCTTCATGGCCTCACTGGGCACTCTGTCTCAGTTCCCCTTTCTGGCTCTTCCTCCTCATTCCTACCTCTAAACACTGGATTTCCTCAGAGTGAGGTCTTGAACTAGCTCCTCTTCTCTACCCAACCTCCTGCCCCAGGTGAGTTCACCTGGTCCCATGAAATTCAATAGGATCCACATGCTGTTCGCCAATGGCATATCTCCAGCCCAGTTGTCTGCTTACGTTCATATACCCAACTAACTACTTGATATCTCTACTTGATTGTTTCACTGGAATGTCCTCAATTTTCATTGGCATCTCTTAATTTCTCCAGTCTCCCAGTGTTCCAGTTACTATAGCTATGTGACAAACCACTTCAAATCTTTTTTTTAATTGAAGTATAGTTGATTTACAATGTTGTTAGTTTCAGGTGTACAGCAAAGTGATTCAGTTTTATATATATATAAAACTTCCTGTTTGGTAACCATAAGTTTGTTTTCAATGTCTGTGAGTCTATTTCT